GGCAAAAAAATTTCAGTTGTTGTATGAGGCTGATGTGTTCTCTCCAGGCTGAAATAGTATCTTTAGAGTGTTCTTTGAACTCCATAACAAAAAAGTATGAGGTATCACAAAAAGAAATAGCTGGACACATTTCAGCTATGAACGACCTGCTTGATATATGTAAGCATAAAAGAGACCGCTTTGAATCACTTACAATAAACTGTGTTTGTGAGTGTCAAAGCTCACATGGTCTTTCACAGCTGAACATTGACAAAGTGTCCACTACCCAGTCTGCTGAGTCTCTCAACAGCACCATGCATGGAGAGGCAGTACAACATACCCCCTGTCATAATGTAAAGATTTATAGTGATGAATTAGGTAGGAGTATGGGTTTGTTGCTTCACAATGTATGTAAGGGACAATTAGTTACTAATCTTTGTATGCCTGGAGCTACCTATTCTCAAATAATGTGGACTATCTTGACAAGTACTCATTGTCCCAACACCATTCTGATTGTATTAATTGGGAGAAGGGGAAGTGTTAATAAACAACTCTTGCGGAACTATCATGATCAATTAACAAACTTAAATGTAAAAAAATAATAATGTTCACACTTCCCTACATTAAGGGGTTGCCACAGGAAAATGATTGTAGACATAGCCTAAATAACAGCTTGTATGTCCTTACAAATAATAATTATGTACCTTTGTACAATACCGACAAAATGAAAATTCACTTAATTGACATAAATAATATAATAAATAATAAATCAAATAGTTTGACATATGATAGGTACAACCTACCCAAATTTTTTATAAGACAGGTAGCTCATGTGCTATCATATTGTATTTTTTTAACCAAGCCAAATTATTGGCTAACAAAATTCAGTCTGCTGTTTCTATTGAACAGCAAGGAGATATGACTAAAAAAAATTTGGAATTTGTTCCAATTAATTTAAATTAAATAACAAGACAACGGAGGCAATCTCAGGCACATTAATTATAAATAATTTGAATTATTGTAATAATTTAATGAATTGTCCAAGAATATTAACTAAAAATATAAATTATAAAAATGGCAATAATTGTATAAGCCTGGTGCATCAAAACATCCAAGGAATGCTAAATAAAGATCTGGAAATTGAGTTATTCTTAAACAGCAATAATATTGACATTTTATGTATTACTGAACATTGGCTCTTGGATTATCAATTTATGTTTAACTTCAGATGTCACCAGGTTGCTAGCCTGTTCAGCAGAGAAAAAGCTATATGTGGTGGCTCTCTAATACTTATCAATAATGCTGTGAAATTTAAAAACCGTAAAGATATTGTGAGCCTCTCTGTTGAGCAGACTATTGAAATAGCCTGTGCAGAGCTTGAGCATTTCATTGTTGTATGCGTATACAAACCTCCTAGTGCGTTATATGAATCATTCGAAAATAGATTGGAAGAAATATTATTGAAATTATCTGAATCTAATAAATTTATCATTGTCTGTGGTGACTTTAACATAAATCTTCTAGAAAATTCTACCACCACTATTAGATTCAGATCATTGTTAAATTCATATAACCTTTCTAACCTATTTTATGAACCAACTAGAATCACTACTTCTTCGGCAACTTGTATAGACAATATATTTACAAATTATGAACCAATCGATAAGTCAATTATTAATATGTTAAATTCAGACCATTGCGGACAACTTGCAATTTTTAAATTATATAAAAAAAGTAGTGATGATAAATTACAAAAAATTATGTTTGTTCCTGTAAATAGAACTCGTATTGAGAAGTTTAGAAGTAATATAACAAAAAAGCTGACATATTTACCTTATAATGACAGTCCAGATGCGCTTTACAACACATTATTTAAATTAATTAAAACTGAATTTAATGCTATATTTACTTCTAAGACAGTCAATCGTAAAAGCTCTGCAGTTTTCAATGATTGGGCAACAGTCGGAATTCATAAGAGTAGGCGTAGACTGTATGAACTCTATAATGAAAGGACATTCAATCACAGTAATTCTTTTGTAGCTTATGTTAGCGCCTATTCTAAAATATTAAAAAAAGTTTGTTATCTGGCTAAATCAATATTTATTAAAAATAAAATAAAAAGCGCATCTGATAAAATCAAAATGACGTGGAATATAATAAATAGCGAAACGGGTAGACTTACGAAGCGCAACTCTGACTTAACCTTAACTGATGGTATTAATACTATTCAATCTAATCAGGAGGTTGCCAATTTTTTCGAGAAATTTTTTGCTGACATTCCTGTTTCTACAACTAAGTCACTTCTCTCTTCTCCGACAATTGCCGAATCATTACTTAAGAAAAATGTTATGGAATGTAAAGAAAACTTTAAGTTTACTACTGTTAATAAGAACGATATCATAAAAACATTCAAATCTCTAGATATTAAAAGAACTGCTGATCTATGGGGGATCTCTGTCAAGGTGATCAGTTCTATAATTGATGTAGTCTCACCTTACTTAGCAACTATTTTTAATATTTGTATTCAACGTGGCGAGTTTCCGGAACTTATGAAACATAGTAAGATTATTCCGGTGTTCAAATCTGGTAGTACTTCTGACCCCAGCAATTTTAGACCTATTAAAATTTTTGAAAAAATTATTTTGAATCAAATGTTACTCCATTTTAGTACACATAAATTGCTGCATAACAAGCAATATGGATTTACTAGGGGTCGCTCAACAACAGATGCGGGTATCCAGCTTGTGAAGAATATTTTTGAAGCCTGGGAAGAGTCACAGGATGCCTTAGGTATATTCTGTGACTTAACCAAAGCATTTGATTGTGTACAGCATGACACTCTGGTCAGGAAACTACACCACTATGGTACAAGAGATGCCGCAGTCAATCTTCTGACATCGTACTTGAGCTATCGTGTTCAGAGAGTTGACGTGAATGGCAAGAGATCTCCCGGGGCCCTGGTAAGTATGGGGGTTCCACAGGGATCTATTCTGGGGCCTTTTCTCTTCCTCATCTACATAAATGACCTGCCCTATCTTGTAAATAATGATCATGAGATAGTATTGTTTGCTGATGATACTTCTTTAATTTTTAAAGTTAAACGACATTCTTCAAATTATGACGACGTTAACAATACTCTCTCCACTGTAGTGCATTGGTTTAGTGCTAATAACTTAATGTTGAATAGTAAAAAAACGAAATGTATTAAATTTACAACTCCCAACGTAAAAAGTGTAAAAACTGATGTACTTTTACATGGGGAAGCGTTAGACCTCATTGACTCGACTGTATTTCTTGGCATAACCGTAGATGCCAAATTGCAGTGGGGCCCCCATATTAATAAACAGTCGAGTAGACTTATTAGTCAGCAGTCTTTGCAGTCAAAAAAATTAGACAGTTGACTGATGTGGATACGGCTCGTCTGGTATATTTTAGCTATTTCCACAGTATAATGTCTTATGGCATTCTACTTTGGGGAAATGCAGCCGACATAAAATACTATTTTCATCCTGCAAAAGAGAGCTATTCGAGCGGTTTATAACCTGGGCCCCAAAGACTCACTAAGAAACCTATTTAAAGAAATAAAAATATTGACTGTAGCTTCTCAGTACATACTTGCTAATGTTATGTATGTCCACAAAAATAAGAATGACTTCAAGATTTAGTAATGTGCATGATGTAAATACTAGGAACAAGCATAAATTAGTTCTACCCTCAACTAGATTGCGTAGAATAAGTAAATCTTTTATGGGACAATGTATACGCTTTTACAACAAAATCCCAGAAAACGTTCAAAATGAATCCGTTGCTAAATTCAAAAAACTTGTAAAGGAACGTTTGTGTGTTAATGGCTATTATAGTATTAGTGATTATATGAATGATAACACACTCTGGAAATGAATTGATCGCTCCAGGCTCTTTCAAGTGGAGTTTAATAGGAGTTTAATAATTGTACACATATTTGTAATTTTTTTGGCAAGTAAAAAAAAACAATGTCCCGCTGAGTTTCTTACGCCGGTTCTTCTCAGGTCAGTGGCTTACCTTCCGAACCGGTGGTAGAGTTTTTTGACTATCAATAAGTAAGTGAATGCTTCTATATTGAATAAAGATATTTGACTTTGACTTTGACTTTGAAAAATAGGCTCGTACGATACACATATTAATCTTATTTGTGAGTACAGTTGACAACGAACGGTTGGTTTGCCAGATGTTAAATGATGACCGCCGTAGACATTCGTAATATTTTATTATATCATCTCGCTAACAAAAAAGGCAAAAGTTTCTATTTCTTTTTTAGGTGAAAACTACGTTTAGATAATGTATATAGTCTGACCTTAAACTGCACAATCAATTTGGTTGATTTAACAATTATTATTGTTATAGAGTGTGCGTAACTTAAAGATTTGTCCTAATATTATCGCGGCGGTTGGTGAAAATCGCGCAAAGATTGAGCAAAACTATTTAGCGAGGAAATACAGCTAACTTCTTAACAGCATGCCGCGTGCGCTAAGTTTATTAGATGACATATAATGTTAGCATTTCATGTAAATGTTGTGTTTAATAATTATGCACCTTATTAAACATTTGAAAAAAAACTTAATGAATATTGTTAAATGTTTAATTTAAAAGGCAGTACACTTTCGACCGGTTTCTGAAACACTGATCATCGTCGATGTCAACTAATAAGCTGACAATTTTTTTTGGGTTTAAGGATGGTTAAATTCTTTGGATTGATCGTTCTGATCATTAGAAGATCATTCTGGTCAATTCAGAGAGTTTAACCGTCCTTTTGGCAACTAAAATGAAATTTGAAAACCATTTGACAGCTGATTAGTTAACTTCTCCAGTGATCAGTGTTTAAGAAACCGGGCGTTAGTCGTTCAGCTATCGATTGGGTCGGCGCGTGCGGCTTTTGGGCCGCAGTGATACGCCGGTCGCGTTGACAGGAGGACGCGTTGATTCTCCTCCATTGTCCTCGCCCCATTCAGTTCGGTCAGCTGCCGTGAAGTACACATACTGCGATGGGCGACCAGCTAGCGTGTATCACACTAGCGATGTTCGCCATACTTTCGGGTAATTAATGTTTCAGTACCAAAACCGTTCTTACGTATTGCGTATTATAAAGCTGTGTCCTTTTTAATACCTTTAAGAATATATGTACAAAGTGATAATCAGCTGAGTAGTTTTGACGTGAAAGCGTAACGAGCAAAATTTAATTCACATTTATAATATTAGTAGGGATTCCCGGTATTTCCTAATACTTTAGAGCGGTCACAGTATACACCGAGGCATCAGAATTTCCCTACTATATCTAATTTTGTATTACATATAATTTACCATCTCATTTAAGCTCTGGCTGAAAGGAATATACAGGATGAACCTGTAAAGTTTGTAAATTAAGTGAGTGAAATTGTCAACAATAGATCTGTCTACTCCGTAAAGGTTATATGTCATTGTTTTTTTATTTGCACCTAGACTTTTTCCATTTCTATCTCTATCTTTTATATTTTTAAATAAATATTTAATAAATATATGACACACACACACACACATACAACGTTTACAATCAAATTAAGCAACGCATGTACTTAATTTGGTTGTTAACATACTTTTCTTTTGTAAATAAATATATATTATACATATAAAGCGTGTCGTTACCATCGCGACAATAAATGAACACACGTCTAACGCTACTTGCCAATAATCATAAAAAAATATTAACGTTAAAAAAATCAATAATAAAAAAAAAATATTTTTCAAACTAATTAAGTAAAAAAGAAACAAAATTTGTAACCAATAAGTAAGTAAATTTGTCCTATACAACTACAACTAACTGATTCATACATTCCGAGACTTTACCATTCGTTGCCCCAGTGTCGCATTACAAGCCTTCCTTCTAACAGTGTGTTTTGTCTCTTTTAAACCCATTCATATGCTTTGTGAACTTTACAAATGAACTTTACGTTACAGTTTTATACGTAAGGGTGTTCTAAAATTCTTTGTTTAATAACTCTGTAAATATTGATGTTTCAAGAATGAAAATGTTGAATACAATTTTAAAAAGTTAAACCTCTATATTCATTTATTGTCGCGATGGTAAAGACACGCTGTATAAACACCCAGATACTGGAAAAACACTATGTTCATCATACAATATTTTTCGAGTAATGGGGAATCGAATCCGCACCCTCTAGCGCAAGAGACTTAAATGACAATAAATCTAAAAAGGAGCTTTTTCAATTTGCCATACACCGCTTACAATCTCAGCGGCTTTCGATTTTTCGTATACATCGATCGAGTTTCTCGTGCGGAAAATCACTGTATTACATTCGTGCCCGGGGTCTGCGATAAGCTGGGCACATATCACGTGGGACACTTGGTTGGCTTAATCAAAAATGAGGCTGGCTATTCCTGCCACTTTGGTCAAGAAAAGTGCCTCTTATATTTTCAGTTTCATTCAAAACATTGACTAAAAATAATTATATTACAATCTTCCTTGATTATGTTATGTCTCGTAGGTGTTTTTGTCGGAACGTCATAGCTCCCATCATGCTTCGTCTCATTTGAACACCATACTAAAGCTTATGTATTTGCCGTAACGCTCATGTTTTCGGATCTGATAAAGTTTTGGCGAACGCGGAGCTTAAAGCCTCGACTTGGCTCAAATTCAAGTATATTTATTCAATACTAGCTTTTACTCGCGGCGTCACTCGAGTTGAAGCCCTTAAATAAATGTCTTTTTTAAAATATTTTTAATACCTATGAGAATATGTGTACAAAGTTTCATGATTATCGGTTGAGGAGTTTTAGCGTGAAAGCGTAACCATGAATCGGTAAGCACTTTCTATCAGACGCGAAGCACGGTCGCTGACTCTATTTTCCCGTCTCTTGGTTAAGCGCAAATGTCATCTAATAACGATAAAACCCTAAGCGAGCACCCTCCGATCTCTTCTTCGATATGAAGAAGGTAATAATCGCTAATTACAAAAGCGAAATGCTATCCGCCCTTTATTGCCGTCAAGTGAACACTTTGTAAGCTGCCATCCTCCGGATATTAAAGCTCCAGTTAACCTTTAGTAACTGTGCATATTTTTCTCACAGCGAAATAGATTCTTGCAGATGCCGCTTTAATTATTCTCAATTGGAGGCAATTACTTAATGTCTCGAGTGGCACCGCCATGGAGGGATGCCATGGCTCCGGTTATTGTTTTGAAGAGGACATTAAAAGCTGAATGATGGCTTTAATAAAACAAATGAGCCACGTTTTGTACTCAATAGCCTGTTGTGCACAGAAATGCTTAAATTGTTAGACTGTTGAAATGTTCGATTTTGGGATTATAAGAAAGAAAATATATTTATCACATTTATTGTTATTTATTTTTATTTATCACATTATTTGTCACTTGATTTAGGCTTATTTTTCGTGTTGGTTAACATTTAAATTAGTACAAACGTAACGCGAGACCCAAATGGGGTCGTTAACTTAACTCAGTAGTTGTTAACTTCGGATTATTCAACATTTATACTCGTTATACTTTATAACAAAAGGCGGCGTAAAATTTCAACCTTACAAGTTGCAACCTTCTTCATCATTGATAATTGTTCCGGTTCTAGGTGCGAACACCAGGACAAATCCCTGCCTAATTATAATAGTGCAACCTGCAAGCCGCCATGTGTTGCAAAAGACTTGGGCTTTGGTAATCACTGAAAAGAAACTGTGTAACTAACTCTATTAGTTCGATTTAGCAATCTTTTTAACCAACTTCAAAAAAGGAGGATTGTTCTCAATTTGTTTGTATTCTTTTTTATGTTTGTTACCTCAGTACTCCGTCATTTATGAACCGTTTTCGAAAATTATTTTCGCTTTTGATTCGATCTTTGGTCACATGTTCCTTTATTAATTCCATTGATATTGGATCTTAGACCTCAGAGATACACTAAGGAACTCCACAAAATCAAATAGAAAATTTGAAGTGATTGAAATATTTGAAATTGGTTGTTTTTTCTCACTAAAAATGTTTTTATCAAAGCTAAAATACGCAGAAGCAATGATTCCGAGCGAACTGTATGGAGTAACGTCTCCTCCGCTATTTAAGGCGGAAAAGGAACAACTCATCTATTGAATTAGTCACTTCCGTACGTACTCCAACAGCTCGGGTAAATGAAGAAATGTTTCTCACATCCCAAAAAACACGTATAAAATGCGTTTTAGTAGGCCTTAAACGTAAAATGTGTTTATGTTAGAGGCCTAAAACGCACGATACGGTAATTTTCTTTTGATAACAGTTTATTACCGAAATAAAATAAAGGTATCTCTCGTTCAGTAATCAGATAATTCTTGTGCTGACATCAGTTGGATATTAACAATTTAAGAACCTGTATCTTTCAATCTGTATCTTAATATAATTATATTCTTTCTTACTCTCGGTCTAAAACTGGTCCGCTAAATTAGAGGTAATATAATAGCCAAAAAAGAGATAAATGCCGTTTTCTTTACTGCTTATTTATTATTTATAGTTGGTTTAATGCTGAATACGTTTGCCGCAGTTTTGAATACTAAAAGTACTATAATATAACAAGCCGATCTGATTAACTGCAATAATTTAATGAGTTTTTCGATTTGAAGTGTAGTTGTAATGACTCATTTATTTTTGAATATAAGCGCATAATGTTTCAGTGTTGACGGTAGAACTCTCTTATCCTTTGCACAGGACCTTACTCTGTATAAGTAGAAAGTAGCCTAATTATTATATAAAGCTCTTCTTACTATTTTATTTTGGCCAATCAACTTACAGTCTTTAATATACGATACCTTTGGAAAGAGACAGTCGGCTAGTTCAGGCTTTGTAGGCATCTCTGTAATACACTGTCTGTCTCTCTCTTTTAGTTCGTACGATGTGCAATACTTATCCTAAGTATTCACATTATAAGTTATATTTTTTTAGCGTTGCAAAAGAAAAATAATTAAAATTTTTATTTCGTTTGTGAAAAGGTCATTGTGAAAGTGTGTCCTAAAAAAAATCGAATGCAATTGAAAACGGTTTAAATAAATAACTTGGAATTATAGGTTATTAAAAAGTTGTTATTGGTTACCATGGTAACACCGTGAAGTTGGTGTCGCTTTTAGGTGTCTCGCATCGTAAAAATTCAACTCTCATCATTTTTCCTAAAAAGTGCCAAAAGAAATATAACCTCAAAAAAATAAAGCAGAGTATCAAATATGACGCTTAAATTATTAAATTTAAGCATAAATATGAAATAGTGTGAACATATTGTTGTCGTAATTTTACTAATTGTCTGTTTTTAAAGGTTGAATCCCGCATGTTTATAGAGTAATGACCTATTATTATTTTGAAAGGGGAACTATGCGCTCGTGTTGTAATGCTTGGTATTGGTTTATTAAGTAAATTGGCCAAGTTAGTGATATAGAAAATAAATGTATATGAGCACAGTGCGTGCACAGAGATTTCAAACAGAGTACGTACTGAAAAAACTTACCAATTCACACTTGGACAAATGGCCTTTAAAATGCGATGAGATTTTTAGTTTCTTTTCATTGGGAAAAATAATTAAAATTCAAAATGCAATTTTGTTTTGTATTATTTACATTATTAATGAATGTTTATAGATAGAAACGACATACCTGCATAGAAGAAGCATAACTGATAAGTACAACAGTCTTTTTATGCCCGTCGAAACATGATTTGAACTTGTATTGGCCATTAAATAATTGCTGCAGAGTTGCTGTACTGTAGTAAACAGCGAAAATAATAATTATCTTCGTATAATTCATTCATAATAAGCTCACACTTTCCATAAGATGGTTATATCAATGACTAATAAGGCCGTTCACTCAGTGGTTAAGTAAATCAATTCAAATTCAAATTCAAAATTCAAATTCAAATCCAAATCATTTATTCATCGAAATAAGAAATATACATTTCATTTATCGATAGTCATTTTTTAAATCTACCACCGTTTCGTATTGAGGTTCCTCTAACGGAGAAGAAACAGGCGAAAGAAACTCCGTAGGTATCCTCTTTTTTGTCATTTTTTTTTTACTCAACAAATAC